TTATGGTGATACCACATTTGTGAGACCTTTCTACAGCCTGGCCACATAGAGAGACCCAACATCCAAGTAGCACCTTTAGGCCTTCTAGGGGCAAAAATTACACATCTAATTTTCTGACAACCTATCACATTTTTTGAAGGCCCTGCAGCCACAGGAAAGTGTAAACATCCACAAAATAACATTATTTTGGAAAGCAAACACCACAACGTATTTTCTGAAAGGTATAAAGAGTCTTTTGACATATAATTTTTTCCACAGGTGTTCGTAAAATGTGTAAAAGAAATAAAACCGTATTTTTTTAACACAAAGTTGTAAATCTATAAGATATTTCTAACAAACAGCATGGACATACCAAGAATTACACTCCAAAATACAGGCCTGGTTAGGAGGGACACTGGGGACAATGAAAAAAGGTGTCTCTTCTATCTCCCCCTCTGCTGCATACCTGACATCTTTTTTGGTGTCTTCGGCCTGTTTCTGTTGGTGGAATGCTCTCAGGGAAATGGTGCTCGTGAAGTCTGCTCACAGAATCGGAATGAATGCTTTCTGGGGTGGGGGGGATCCTTGCTGGTATATAAGGGACGTGACAATTTCTTCTATAAGTTTGAGGAATACCAGAAACTAGACCTTTTTTTTTGCCAAATAGGGGTGTAGCATCTGATCATTGAAATTCACCCCCCCCCCCCCACACCCATGTATAGATTATAATCTTGGATGCACACAGGCTTTTAGATGGGACCATGTCTTCCAGTAATTTCCACCGAGGTGTCATTGTAGATGGTGGACAGGATGTAAACGTCTCTCTTGTCCTTCCACTTCAGGGCCAGCACTTCATTGTTTCTTAGACTTGCTGATTCCCCCCATTGTAGCCTGATGTTCAATAGAGCTTGTAGGAAGCGCTTCCTGCTTTTTCAGGAGGTACCGCAGGCCAAGGTTTTCTCACAGTACAGGTGTTGGAAAAGGGGCAGACTGGTATAGAAATTATCAAGGCACATGTGATAGATTTTTTGGAAAAGTGGAAAAGCCAGGTTCCAGACAACTTTTCTTCTTGTGCTGATGTAGGTTGGGCACTCAGTGGGCTGCAGTGGGAATATTTGCCTCCGTACACTCGGAACACATACAAATATCCAGTGGCTCTTTCACCAAGCTTATAGAGCTTTACCCCATATCTGACCCTTTTGCTTGGAATATATCGCTTGATTCCCAGCTGGCCACTGAAGTGAACAAAGGATTTGTCCACATATGTGTTTTCAAGGACATAAAGTTCAACAAATCTTTGGGAAAAAAAAAATTAAGAAATGGATGAATTTTGTATAATTTGTCATAGTTGGGATGATCCCGGGGAGGGAACTTGGTATTGTCACTGAAATGAAGGAATCACATGATTATCTCATAACATAACCTGGGCATTATAACAAAAAATGGACATGCGGTGGATAAGGTGTGTGGACCAGTAAGCATGTCCTTAATATTTTTGGAAGCCCCATGTAAAGGGTGAGGTCCAAAAATAACTTAAATTCCTCCAATGTTAAAGATCTTAATTCAAATGTATGGGCATAGGATGAACTGAGGTTGTTAGTAATGAATTGTTGGGCAAAAAGGTTTGCCTGTTCCACAATAAAATGAAGTGGACTGTCAGGCAAAAATAAATAATAAAAAAAATTCTAAAAAATGTTTAATGTTGGCTTGTACACCTGGCTGTGCAGTGAAAGGGGGAATACTTGCTGATCCTGAGTTGGAGGGCAACCATATTGGGTTGGCAAGAGCATCTTGGAGGTATGTTTGGGACCTGATTCTTGGGGTTTGATGGGATAAAATTGGAACCCTAACATAAATATTCCCCCATATACTATTTTAGAGTGCAATCCTAATTTTCCTTTAAACAGATGAGGGGCAGACTCAAATGTCTGGGTATGTACAGTAAATTACAGAGAAGCCATGCCATCCTTATAAATCTACCTTTACATCATTATTATATTCAGTCAGCAAATACCTTGTTATATTCATTACATTACCTTAACTTGGTTTAGAAGATGCAATGTGTTTAAGATGACCATATTGCCTTGCATCTTGAAATCTGATGCAAGCTATACCAAACAGACTACTGAGCACCTTTTGCTTACAACTACAAACAATGGTGATATTCTTTTTCTGGTACTCGAGTTGCATGATCCATTCTAGGCAACATGGATGCTTAGATTTAACAGATTTTAAGCTCTTTTATACAGTAACACACCTCACCCATGTAATTTAAAGGAATTGCCATCATACACTGAACTATGTGTACCCCTGGAGCAAGACGTCTCTCTCCTGCCTCTTGTATGCCTCTCCTGACTTTCTTCCTAATTCTACCTGCTGAAAAGATTGACCAAACTGTGTGAGCTACTGTCCATATAGCCATAAAAACATTTGCTTCTTCTACCCTATCTCCACAACAGTCCCCCCTTATGCCTATACTTGGAAATCCCAATGCGTTTCACCCCATCCACCAGGACTTGGACACAGAGGTCTCCTCTGACCTCTGTGATCAAACCCCAGTGAACGGGGTGAAATGCATCAGAGGGTGTGGCCATTCCTCTACATTGGACTCCTGGGGTCGGTTGAGCAGCATCCATCCCTTCACTTGTATTGGCTGACACTGGAATCGCTCGGACTCCCCTCTTCTCACTTGCTGATGGGGTGATCATTTTCCTTTCATAGCTTGGAGTGGTGCCATAAGATATTCTTTTCACATATGTACATTGTGTTTGTGAATATTCCACCTGTGAATTATGCATGTTCAATGTTGATGCTGGTTCTCCCTTGCAGCCCTATTGTACGCTGTCAGGAGGAACTCCCTTCTCCTTCAGAATACAATACTCTTTTGGCAAACTTTCCATTGAAGTGACCATGGAGCATCTTTGCCAAGTACTGGATTTATTCTGGACTTGAATGAGTTTGCAAGAAGGGGAGGACATGGGCCAACTTTGACTGAATCAGTATCTGTTCTCTTGCAGAAGACCCAACAGAGGAAGGAATCATCCTACTCTTTTCTGAGGCAGCAGATGTTCAAGATCTAGGCTTCTCCACATCTGACAAGAATAATGACATCAGACAGTCTCAACAACAGCAGCCTAATGTGAACCTTCACCCACCATCTTCAAGTTCACAAAACAAAGAAAACTATTTCAGCCAAAATTCTGCAGATGTTAACACCAATTTGGGTTCGCGCACTCCACCAATCAACATACGACATGGACATACTATATGTGGCACACGTAATTTTGAGAACAACTTGTTTTTGTGTGTCAGCAGAGTGAGATTTTCCAACAAGCACAGCTAGAAGATTGTGAAATCTTAGAGGGTCTATTAAAGGCCATCGAAGTAGAAATTAAGGCCATGAAGGCATGTATACAGGAATTCTTTACAAGTACAGCAGAGTACTGACAAAAGAAACAACTTACTCAGACAGTAGGGTAACAAATCTTTCCACCTCTTAACCCACCACCTGATTTTATCTTTCCCTCTGAAGTTGCTTTTTCATAAACCAAATCTCTCACCATCAGTTTTTTTGCCTAATATGTGTATTTTATATGTGACTTTTGTATTGCACAAGAAAGTATTTTTTCTTTGGATACAGCAGAGAAGGGTTAGAACATCTATCATTTTTTTCTTGCTGTCTGTGCCCCGTTAGAGAGAGTCACTCTCTATATTTCTACTGTTTGGTTTTATTAGTGAAACTGAAAGGACTAGAAAATCCTACATATTGTCTTGTCAAACAATAGAGGATGAATCTCACCAATGGGATACGGATGGTGAAAACAGACTGACAGGGGTTCTAACAGTCCATTATCATATCCAAAATGAAAAAAACAAAACAGTTTTGCCCTTAGTGCCATTGGCTCCTGCTGCTGTAAAGCAAATTCTGTGTGGATTGACTGGGGCGGAGCCTATCTATGCTGTGTGTCTATGGAGCATGGTCACAGATCAGGTGTGAGCATTCACATGTGCCCCCATAGCAAGTGGCTTGCCATGGGAGCACAAAGAGAAGAGGAGGACCATTTAACCTCCCTGGTGTATCTTGGGGTTAATTATCAGTGCCAAAAGCGGTAATCCTGAGCTACACTCAGGATTACCCTGCAGCATTGCTCTGGAATTCCCTCGATCACTTACCTTGTCCTGCGCTCCCGTGATGTGTCCCCGGCAGTGTCGCAGGCGATCTCCTATCCGTCTTCCGGGTTCCGGTCCCTGCAAGCGCCGGGACGTATGGGCCTTAGGGGGACCGGAACCGATGGGAAATTAAAAATTTTTAAAAAGTGACATTCACTAATACACTAAAATCACATAGTAAAACATTACTGTTTTCAAAGCATTTCACATACATTTTGTCCCTGCTGCTTTGTCCTGTGCCCTGCCTGCATTTTTACTTTTCTTTCTGCCTGGAAACTGAGAAAAGTCCATGGCCTCCAAAAAGCATCCCTTTATGTCAAAAGTGGTTTTTAGACCAGCTAGAATACAGTGATAGTAAATCAGAACCACTTGCAGAATTGAGTGCTAATGATTTGTGGGGAAATTCGTCATCATACACTGAAAACGATTTTGCGCCTTTGCTCAGTGATGTGCAAACTTGGCACTATATTTCAAATTTCAGTGTTTTTGGTTTGATTATATTATTGAATTACATTTATTATTATATTATTATTTTTTAGGATTATTTATTATATTATAATTTATGATTTTGTGTTTCAAATTTTATAATTCACATTGTGATATACATTATGCTATTGTACCCAGTTGATTACATTTTTGTCATAGTTTCTGCCATATATCACTGGAATTTTCACTGTGATGTATTGTATGTTATTGGACTGCATGATTAACCACCTCCTGCCCGCCATATAGTAATATGACGGGCGCAAGGTGGTTCTCTCGTTCTGGGAGGACGTCATATGACGTCCTCCCATTCTCACTGCGCATGCGCGGCTCAGGGAGCGAACAGCGTGGCGATCGGCAGTGCGCTGTGTCCCTCGGACACAGTGGATCACGGAAATAGCCGAAGATGTCGGTTCGGTGATGTGATCAGCTGTGTCCAATCACAGCTAATCACATGTAAACAGGGAAATGCCGGTTATCGGCATTTCACTCCTCTCGCGCTGTCACGCTGACAGCTCGAGAGGAGAGGAGAGCCGGTAATCGGCTTTCCGCGGAGGGGACATGTACACTGATCATCAGGGGCACTGATGATCAGTGTGCCCTGATGATCAGTGTTGCCCCAGCAGTGCCACCTGTCAGTGCTCATCAGGGCCTCGTGCCAGTGCCCATCAGTGCCACATATCAGTACCCATCTGAGCTGCCTTTCAGTGTCACCCAACAGTGCCAGTCAGTGCCAGCTATCAATGCCAATCAGTGCCAGTCAGTGCCACCTATCAGTGCCAGTCAGTGCTGCCTATTAGTGCGCATCAGTGAGGCCTATCAGTGCCTGTCAGTGCTACCTAACAATGCCATTCAGTGCCGCCTAACAGTGCCAGTCAGTGCCACCTATCAGTGCCAGTCAGTGCCTCCTATTAGTGCCAGTCAGTGCCACCTATCAGTGCTATATATCAGTGCCATGTATCAGTGCTGCCTTTCAGTGCCCATCAGTGATGCCTGCCAATGCCCATCAGTGCCACCTACCAGTGCCTCCTCATCAGTGCCCATCAGTGCCACCTATCAGTGTCCATCAGTGCAGCCTATCAGTGCCCATCAGTGCAGCCTCATTAGGGCACATCAGTGAAGGAGAAAAATCACTTATTTACAAAATTGTATAACAAAAACTAAGAAAAAACTTTTTTTCAAAAGTTTCAGTGGTTTTTGGTTTGTTTAAGAAAAAATAAAAAACCCAGAGGTGATTAAATACCACCAAAATAAAGCTCTATCTGTCACAAAAAAATGATAAAAATTTCATATGGGTACAGTGTTGTTTGACAATTGTCATTCAAAGTGCGACAGTGCTGAAAGCTGGAAATTGGCAGGAAGGGGGTATAAGTGCCCTGTAGGCTAGAGGTTAAAAAAGCTCACAAATCTAAATAACTATTCATTCCTTGTCTACAGGTTGTTCATTCTTTTTCTTGGTGTTGTGTCTCTTTTCTGGTTCTAAAAAATGTATACATTTTTGTTGATCACTAGATCTTGATTGATTGCTGATAGTCCTGAAATTTGGGACAAACAGAAAACCTATTTTTTGTAGAGAGCATGATTTTATTAAATCCCACTTACAGCAGTCTTCTTGCTACCAATATTCTTATATCTCTTTTTGACTGATTTTTTGATTGCTTTACACCATAGCTTATTTCTATGTTGGTGCTAGTACTAATTGGCTAAACACTTTCCACTCTATCTGGTGTCTCTTTATCATTAAATTATTGTTTTCCATATTCATCACATACTGTGTCTCCTTCAGGTTGAAATTGGCTTATAGTATACAGTGTTTTTCTATTACTAGAGTCATCCTGCTCTTTAGAAGGTTCCAATTCTTAATTAACAGCTTTGAGGTTGCACTATTTGCAGATGATGTTTTATTATTCTCCTCTGACCTCTCTCAGATATTGACAAAGTCAAGGATTTTTTTTTTGCTCTCTACTGCACTTGCTCTGGTTTGCAGATTAACCTGGAGAAAAATCATGTCTTGGCCCTAAATCTGTCCAAAGCCAGGCGATGGCTCCCATCATTGCCATTCGCCATTGCAAGGCTACATATTATGCATTTAGGCATATGAATAGGCTGAGAGCCATCTTCTATATACCACCTTGACTATCCTCCCTTAATTGCCAAGATTGTTCAGGAATTGTAAGCATGGACAAATCTTTCCATTTTGCTCTTTGGTAGATGTAATTTATTTAAAATGGTTTCTTTTCCTAGACTACTTTTATCCTATGTAAACCATTCTCATACTGCTGAAACACTCTGACATACAAAGAATTTACTTGGCATTGCTGTCCTTTTTGTGGCAATGAAGGAAACCACCTATAGCCTTCCAAAAGCTTTGTCTTCCCAAGAACAACAGCGGTGCAGGCTTGCCCAACCTGAGATTTTATAATGTTGCATGTATACTCAGACAGCGCATTGACTGGTTATCTGGCAAGTCCCGCTACACTAATTATGTGCTTGAGAGCGCCTTGGTGTCTTTGTTCAACCTCCCTGCCATTCTTCACTCTAAACCTAAGTTACTACCATTAAAACAAATATTTTGTTTAGAGACACTGTGGTAGCATGGAGGGAAGTCTGGAGGCTCCTGGACCTGCCCTCAACCATCTCTAGCTTTTTACCTATATAGGGGAACCCTGTGTTCCCCCCTTCAATTATACATGGGGCATTTGCCCAATGGAAAGCTTCTGGCCTAACCAAGGTTGCCATGGTTTTCAGGGATGTCTCGGGAACCTATAAAAAGTTCTATGAACTCTACTGAGTTTATACTCCCATCAGACCATGTATTTTACTACTACCAATTGCTCAGTTACCTTATGTCTTGCTTCAAATCTGGACAAGATCCTCTTTGCAGTTCCTTCACTGAGGTAGTGCTCCGCTACAACAGCTACTTTATCTCTGACTTGTATAAATATCTACTTCTATACCAGGCTTTCAAATATCATCTTACTCCTTGCAAAGCGTGGATCCCTATTCTTGTTACGATCCAAGCCCCAGAACTGCTCCTATCCGTTACCAAAGAACCTGTGGTTTTACCATCTGTGAAAAGTGACCTGAGACTCAATTTAAAATTGTGCATAGGGCTTATTATCCTTTCTGCACCCAGAGATGATCCAACACAAGTGCTGTGCCAATGGTGCACCTTCTCAAGGCCTACTTTATTCCACCTTCTCTGAGAGTGTAAGCATGTCTCTACCTTCTGGGATAATGTCCTAACATATATCACAAAAGTTTGCAAATCCCAACCACCCAAGGACTCTCTGATTTGTCTTTTTGGCTATGAAGACCTACTGACTCAGCAGCAGCAGTTCCCTTCCAACCTGGGACTACCTCATTTATGCCTGTTAGTGGCCAGCAGAGTTATCCTTGCAACCTGGATCCAGTCAACACCACCTCTTCTATCTACTATGAAGAAAGCATTAGTAAGCCTGTTTCTCCTGGAAAAATTGGATAACATTATGATGAATTACAAGTCCATATGGTGATTCTTTGCCAGGTGGCAATGTTTCATGGAATATTCCATCTCTCAATTGGAGCAATCTACACACATGCAAGCCTTCAAATACATGGATTGGTATCCAAAGGAGGAGCTTTCCAATTCTTTAGGCAAATTAAAAATCATAGAAGTTCACCAACACCTTGATCTACCTCACATGTCCCCCCCTCAATGTCTACCTGCCCAATAGGGCGGACTCTTAACCCAGCTTTATTTCCCCTCTTTATTGTTAGGTGTTATATGCGCTACTGTAAGCATAAGAAATTTTTCTTGACCTACCACTTCCACTCTTGCAGGTAACTTGTTAGAACAGTTTTAGCTGATTATTGCCATTTTTTACTGCAAAGAGATACTCTTTTCTTAAAGTTCATTTTATAATACATTGTTATATTCTATTCTTAGAGTTCACTTTGTATTCCTGCTTATGGTACCCTGTACTTGTTTTTTTTTCTTCTTGTGAAGGCTGTTATGCCTCTTTTCAGGTTATAACCTGTATGTTCTTTGCTATTCATCGTAAAAATCAATAAAAATCAATAAAAATGTAAAAAAAAAAAAAACGTACAGGAGAATGCAGCTATAAAGGAGCAATTGATGCTCTCAGAAGCCACTGACTGAAAATATTTTGGCTTAATAACAACAGCTTTGCTATGGAAAGTAGATCTGTTTACATTTCAGTGTGAACAAAATATGTTTCTGATGTATTTTTTAAATATTTTCTTGATATGGTTGTCAGAAAACTTTTTTCTTCTTTCACACAGCTCACAGCGTTAATAAATGAGATGGGTTAAACAAAGAGGTGACTGCTTCAGTTTTGAAATATTCTGGCATTGCTTTAATGTGGAACCTTTTTATCTGGCTATACCTTTAGAAATGATATTTCACTAGAATTACGTTGACTCTTTGCTGAAATTTCTGCCCTAATTATCCTTTTCTTCAAGAAAATGAAAAAATGCCGTTGTTGACTTAGGAAATACGAAGGGATAGAATCCACATAATAAACTATTTACTTATAACTTTATTATGAACCCTACTGAAGTGCATAGGAGGTAAATCATTAAAATCAATTCTCTCTCTTGTCAATGCTGATAGACAGAGGATTATCAAAAAAAAGGGCATTGGAATCTGGGTACTGCCAGGAAAAACATGTCCCAATGCAAAAAAAAATAAAAATATTGATCGGCGGTGGGAGTGCCCTCTATTTTATGCAACTTTGAGAAAGACATGGGAAAACAGCAAATCTTCAAATGACATACTTCAGAGGTGCCTTTAGGTTTCATGCAGTGTTAGAGAACAGTACAATTCTCCTGGACAGCATTACATAATGTGTACTGTATGTGTAATACAATGCACATTCTTTTTTTGGATTACATAAAACAACTGCACCCCTATTTTATTAATTTTAACTTGATAATTCATCTATTTTATATAGTTTTTGCTGCAGCACATGTTTTTTTTTTTACCTACCAGTTTTAGGCCAGAATTGAGCTATTGAAGTAGTGCACAGCACAGATATAAATATATCAAACTATTTACATTTTGAAATAAAAAAAAATGTTTCTACTTTGTAACAATTGCCAAACAGTGACATTACATGTTTCATAGCATATCATATGATCTTCTTTTAGTTCAGTGTCACACTGCATTTACAAAGTTTAATGCAATGTTAACATAGCATGCACAGGAACACCTCAAAATCTCCAACTCCACATTCTAGACATGAGGCAATATTCTGCATGTAAACAAAATTAATGTAGACTCCTCTATCATTTGCTCTGGTGCTCTTTTCATTGATGCATGTTTTTTTCTGATTACCTACTGGATACCCATAAGAAGCTAACCCTGTCTGTTGTAAACAGTCTAACCTGGGGCAATGTGCTCTCCGAATGTTTTTTTTTTTTTTCCTCTCACTACTAGAGATGAGCGAAGTATTCAAAAATTCGATTCGACTGATTCGGCGAATTCGTGGACAATATTCGATTCGAGTCGAATATATTCGCTGTGAATTTAACTTAAAAAAGGATGTTTCTAGGCTTCAGAGAGACTTAATATTAGTGCAGAACACTGTACCTTTAATTTAAATGCCCTTGGAGTCTGCTGGGGAAGAGAAATAATACTGTCAGTCAGTATGACATGCAGATGAGTGCCGTCGATCTTAGAATCAACGCACACTTCACTCATTTGGCCAGTCACGGGGCCAAAACCAGTGTTTGGAGCCACAGTGTGGCGGTGGAGGCAGCAGCAATGGGAGGCCATACAGCAACCTATGACAAAATGGAAACCAGCAGGAGTGTGAGGAAACCTCAAAGTGGCACATGGCAGAGTGGGAGCAATGGGAGGCGGTACAGGGACCCATGTCACACTGTGGACCCAGCAGCAGCGTGACGAGGCGGTACGGGGGCCCATGGCAAATTTGGGGCCTGGCAGCACCTATGGGAGGCCTGTAATCTGCCAGCAACCTATGACAAAATGGAAAACCAGCAGGAGTGTGAGGAGACCTGAGTGGCACATGGCAGAGTTCGAGCAATGAGAGGCGGTACAGGGACCCATGTCACACTGTGGACCCAGCAGCAGCGTGACGGCCCATGGCAGATTACAGGCC